GAAGAAAATTACCAATTACTTTTGAGGGTGTTTATGTTAATTCACATGATAATCAAAGAAAAATTATTGACACCATTTATAAAGGAGAAGGACAGAAAACAAATGATGAAGGAATGGAACTTGTCACAGAAGTAACAATAGAAGGACTTCCACCTGGACTAAAAGCAGGAGAATTTAAAATAATTGACAAAACAACAATAAACAGAAGTGGTCTTGTTGAAGTTGAAATAGTTAAAAAAGATACAGGGGAGCATCTTGAAAAAATGAAGGCATTTGTAAATTTAGGATTTGATGAAGATATGACAAAAAAGATTCAACAACATCTTGAACCTTATTTCAGAAATTCAGAGTAAAAATTGATTTAACTTGAAGTAATTTAAAGTAAGGTCCAAATCAATAAAGACTTAATTGAATTTTACAAATATCTGTTTGTTATTTTTTATTTATTAAGTATGTCATAAAATGATTTAATGTTTTGTAAGTAATATCAAGGTTATTGCTTTTTAGAGTAATGCATAATGAAAAAAAAAAAACAATACAAACATAAAATATATAACAACTGTTACTCTGAAATATTAGCTAAATTGAAATAAATCAAAGAAATAATATACTCGTCTATAATAAGAACAAATCAATAATCTTTAATATTTAAAAAAAGAAGTATTATAAATAACATAAATCAACACTGTAAAAAACGTTATTTAAAACAATAACAATACCACTAAAAAAATTAAATAATTTTATTTTCAATAGAAGTATGTATTTCCAAAAATTTGTTATTTGCTAACATAATAACAACAAATAACAACCAAGGCTTATATTTGTATGAAAGAATTTGATGAATAATTATTAAAAAATATTTTGTTTTAAAATGATAACTTTTATAAAATTAGGGATACTTCTCTGAATACTGATTCATAATAATAGTATTTTACTGTCGTATGAAGTAAAGAGAATCTAAAAATTAATTTTTTTAAGAGAATAATTGAAATACGTTATTGATTAATGTAACTGAGGAAGAAATTTTAATTTTCGTGATTATATTTTAAGAAAAATAATAGTAAAATTTATTATATTAAATCTATAAAAATATAGTTTATGAACAAGAACTTGAATTTGAAAAAAGATGACATTCATTCCACAAAAACACATTGAATTTCTAAGAAATAAAGAAAAGGAAAATGAAAATGATATTGAGTCAATAACAAGCTCTCATCTAAAAATATGTGGTATTTATTGGGGTATTACAACACTTCATTTATTAAATAAAGTTACTGATGAAGATAAAGAAAGATTAACACAATTTTGTATGAAATGTTTTGATGAAAAAACAGGTGGGTTTGGAGGAAATATTGGATATGACGGACATATATACAATACTCTTAGTGCAATACAAGTACTATGTATTTTAGGAAAACGTTCATTAATTCCAGTTGAACAAGTAGCTAATTGTTTGTTTAAATATATTTTTATTTTTAAGTCAATAGAAAAGAACTTAATTTATTAGTTATTAAATCATGTCAAAGAGAAGATGGAAGTTTTGTTGCTGATCATTGGGGAGAGTCTGATAATAGATTTGTATATTGTGCTGTATTAGCATTAACTCTAATTGGTAAATTAGATGTCATTAATACTGAAGCAGCAGTTAATTACTTAATGAGATGTATGAATTTTGATGGAGCATTTGGATGTATCCCAGGAGCAGAATCACATGCTGGTCAAACATTTACAGTTGTAGCTTGTTTGGCATTATTAAATCGGTTAGATGTATTAGATAAAGAGAAATTAGCATGGTGGTTATGTGAAAGACAAACAGTGACAGGAGGACTTAATGGAAGACCTGAGAAATTACCAGATGTATGTTATTCATGGTGGGTATTAACTTCATTAATTATTCTTGGAAAAGTTGATTGGATTGATAAAGATGCACTTGAAAAGTTTATTCTACAAGCACAAGACATGGAAGATGGTGGTATTGCTGATAGACCAGGTGATTGTGCTGATATTTATCATACATATTTTGGGATTGCTGGATTAAGTTTAATGAGAAAATATACAGATATTATTGGTGAAATTGACCCACGATTTGCTATGCCAAAAGATGTGTTAGAATTTTATCATTTAATTTAAAATTTTGGGACAAATTATATTATTGATTAATGTTTTTTGATTATACAAAAAGAGATATAAGAAATTAATTTGAAAGAAGGAATTTGAAAGAAGAAGAAAATTAATTTTCATCATCTGCAATTACCACCTCATCTCCATGAGACTCTTCATCATCATAATCTTCTACTTTTAATTCTAAAGCTTCATCATCATCCAATTTAACAATTTTAGCTCTCTCCTCTTTTTGGTCAACAACATTTGATGGTAAGTAAAGGATAGTCAAAACCATACAATAGAAATTAACAAATGCAATAGTTGTTAAAGAAACAGCAGCATTATTACGATAACCCATAAAGAATACTGAGAGTAATAATGAGATATAGAATAATAAAATGAAGATAGTGAAAATACCATAGACTTGAACTCTATAACCAGCACTTCCTAATTTACGAACTTCTGAGAATGAACGAATAATAGAGAATATTAACCAGAATAAATAAATAATTAATAGACCCATAATACCTAATGAAATAATAACATTAAATACATCATGTGAACCAGTCATTGTAGGTGAATAAATCTTTCTTGTTTTGTTATACATGAATGATGCTAAAATAAGTGAAAATAATAAACCACATAATAAACCTCTTGGTAAATAGAATCGAATACTTGTTCTTTGTCGAATTGGTTTTCTTAATGCATCAAACATAATAAGAACATAAAACATTAAGAAACATATGAAAATAGTATCAATAACAGAATTAACAAATAAATAGAAGGCATTATCCATTAAAAATTCATATGGATATAATGGATTATTTTCCCAAATAAGGAATGTTAATAATACAACTGTCCACTTTTGTTCATGACTCCATTTTTCTTGTGGAATGGATCTATTAGCCCAAAGATAAATACAGGTACACAAACAAGAGAATAAAATAAAAATAAGTCTCCAGAATAATTCAAAAATAGTATAGAACGTTGAAACATATGATGCTTTAAAGATAAGATCACTAACAATATCTTTTACATTTTCATTAATTATAGAAAGTTCAATAATATAAATTGGATAATCTAAATACAGTTCTGATGAGATATAACCAACATCACATTTGTTAGATCTAGCTGGACAATGTACTTTACTTTCAATTGTTTTTTCTTCAATAAGTTTTAATGAACTTACTTCAACTTTTTGGTTTGGTTGATTTAATACATTAGTTCCATATAATGTATATCTAAATTTAACAAGTCCATCAACTAAAAAGGATAAGTTAAACTTTAAATTCTTCTTGGGAATTATTTTAATATCCCACCTGAAATTTTTGACTTTCTTAAAACGAAAAGACATGAAAAGATAAGATGTCAATCAAGAGAATATTTTTTTAAAAGATAATAACACAACAAACAGGCTATATCTTTCTTAGAACTCTTTTTATTGAAATAATATTCTAAACGAGACTCTTGATTAAAAATTTCATATGCACCTAATTGAAGGGTTATTTTTTTGGATTTATCTAACAAATTTACTCCTCCACAATTTTGATTAAATTGTGCATCATCACCAGCACATTTCCATGAACTTATTTCATTTGTTGACCATGGTTTTGGTGCATTTAAACTAACAAAAAGAGCTATAACAACAAGAACTGCAAAAACAATGAAAAGAAGGAAAAATCCAATTTTTGATATTGTTGTCAATAAGAGCCTCTGTTCTTTGTTTGTGTTTAACACCCCAGAATTGTTCATATTTGAAGTTTTCAAGTTCTTTTTTTTTTGACTTTTTTCGTAATACTTTTTTCTTTTTTTTTAAATAGAAAAACCCTTTTTCAACTCTATTTTTTGTGATTCATTCTCAAAAAATTTGTGTTATTCAATGACAAAAGGGTAAAGCCTAAGGAGCAGAAATCGATGGTTCTTATCTTGAATAAAAAAAGAGAGAGACTAGTAAAAATAGTTAAGAAATAATAAAAAGAAGATAAAAAGTATAAAAATAGGAGGTAAAGACTAAAAAAGAATAATAAAAGACTAAACAGAATATTCTAAGAATTAAATCTCCTAAAATTTAAAGAAATAATTGAACTATAAAAAATGAAGTAGGAATAGTTCTGATATGATAGGCATCATAGTCACTTCTTTTATTATTGTGATTTGTACTATATTATTCTTTTTAAGAAAGAAACCACTCCCAAAAGAGAAATTTGGGTGTTGGGTTGGTGAAGCACACCCACATGAGACAAGAGTAAGAAGAGATATTATTGGAAAGGACAAATTAATTGACCGACCAGATCAAGGATATACTACATTATATCAACTTGTAGAATCTTTTCCAACAAAAGGACAAGATCATTTAATTGGATATAGAGAAGTTATAGAAAAAGTTCCATTTAAAACAGTAAAGACTGTGGTACAAGGAAAGGAAATAGAAAAGACAATGTATAAATATAAAATGAGTGATTATAAGTATATGTCTGATAAACAATATTATGAATATATTCATAAATTAGCTAATGGAATATATTCTCTTGGATATAGAAAAGGAGATAAAATAGCTATATTTTGTGAAACTAGATATGAGTGGATGGCATTTGTTCTTGCTTGTGCTTGTAGAGGAATTATAGTTGTTACTGTTTATGCTACACTTGGAGCTGATGCTGTAGATGTTGCATTAAAAGAAACTAACGTAAAAGGAGTTTTAGTTTCAGAAGAAACATATGAAAAAACAATTCAGTTGGATGTTTATAAATCAATTAAATTAATAAGTTGTGACCCATTAGAAGACACAACAATTCCAACACTTCCATCTATTTTAGATGCACCAAAAGTTGAAGATGATATTCCAAAAGAAGAAGATATAGCAATGATTTTATATACATCAGGAACAGCAAAAGAGCCAAAAGGAGTAGTTGTATTACATAAAAATTTACTTTGTATCACATATTCATATAATCATATAATGGGATATTCAAATAAAACACGGTACATTTGTTATTTACCATTAGCTCATATTTTTGAATTAACAATTGAATTTTGTAATTTAGTATATGGAGGATGTTTAGGATATTCTTCTCAAAGAACATTAACATCAACATATATGTATGATAGTGAATGTGATATGATTGCATTTCAGCCATCATTTATGAATGGAGTACCAACAGTATTTAATAGAATAAGAAAAGTTGTTACAGATAAAATAGAAAGATCATCATGTATAGTTAGATTTTTATTTAATATAGCATTTCAATTTAAAAAGAAATTTTATGTTGATTATCAATTAAGACCAAGATATTTATTTATTCCATTTATTAAACTCTTTGACTCTCTTGTCTTTAAAAAGATTAAAGAAGAAATTTTTGGTAAAACTTTATTTGCTGTTATTATGGGAGGTTCTCCTTTATCTGATGACCTTCAAGAATATCTTCAAATTATTCTTGCAGGTGTAGATATTATGCAAGGATATGGTATGACTGAAGCTTGTGGTCCAGTTTCAAATATGCTTCACGGAGATTTTGCTTATAAAACTATTGGAGTATTATATCCACATTTTGAGGCTAAATTAATTGATGTAGAGGATATGGGATATCTTACCGATAAAGATATACCACAAGGAGAATTATTATTAAGAGGACCTGCTTTATTTAAAGAATATTTTAATAGACCAGAAGAAACTAAAAATTCATTCACTGAAGATGGATGGTTTAAAACAGGAGATATTGCACAAATTACACCTTCAGGAAGAATTCAAATTATTGACAGAAAGAAAAATTTAGTTAAACAACCATGTGGAGAATATATTTCATTAGAAAAAGTAGAAATGGTTTATAATTTATCAAAATATTGTGATATGTTTTGTGCTATTGCCAATCAATATTATGATTTTACAGTAGGATTAATTGTACCAAATAAACAATTAATGGAAGAATTTGCTCTTGAAAAATCTATTAAACTTGAAGATGTATTTAAAAATAGTGAATTCCATGATATTGTTATGAAATCTTTACGTGAAGTTGATTCTTCTTTATCTTCTCATGAAAAAATTAAAAATTTCTATTTGGTTGAAGATGAATGGTCAGCAGAAAATGGTGTATTAACTGCTGCTTTGAAATTAAAAAGAAATTTCATACAACAGAAATATGAAAATGTCATTAAACAATTATTTAATTGATTTTGAATTGAATTGGGATTTTTATTTATTTTAGTTTTATTTTATTAAAAGTTAAGTAATGATATTATAAATCATTTTCACTTTTTCTTTCTTTATTTTGAGAAACTTAATGAATGATTTATATTGATATTAAAATGAAAGATTTAATTGTGAAAATTTTATTAATTTGAGACTAACTTGAAATTATATATGAAATAAAAAATAGCCATAAAATAATTAATACAAATAAAAT